ACCTACCTTAGAAAGGATGGAAGGCTGAGTCAACCTTGAGCCTGGCAAGATGCGAACTTACAGTGATTGCAGACAGCTGGTGTTAATCACAATGCTTTTAGTCTGCTGAGCCAACAGCCTATAAATAAAAGCAGACCAGCCTATAAATTTAATAATTGAGATAGTTTGGTTTAAGTAGTTAAAGCGCCAGATTAGAAACCAGGGGACGGTGAGTTCAAGTCCCGCCTTAGGCATGAAAGCAGGCTAGATGACTTTGGGCCAATCACCGAGAGACGGTGAGTTCTAGTCCCACCTTAGTCATTAAAGCAACTGGGTGACTTTGGGCCAATTGTCCGGAGATGATGAGTTCTAGTCCTGCCTTAGTCATGAAAACAGCTAGGTGACTTTGGGCCACTCCCTTGCGAGGTAGTTGCTGTGGGGAAAATAGGAAAGGGAAGGACCATGTGCACTACCTGGAGCCGTGATGGTGAATTTATGGCACACGTGCCAGAGGTGGCATGCAGAGCTCTCTCTGTGGACATGTGTGCCATTGCCAGCTGCTATTCTGGTTTCCGGCATGCCGGCCAGTTGGTCTTCACAGGCACTGGAGCACCGGAAAACAGCCTGGAAAACGGCCTGAAAACCAGCCGAAAAACAGGCCCGCAAAACAGCCTGAGAAATGGCCAAAAAACAGGCATGTACGCGCCGGCCAGCTGCTCTTCGGGTTTCCAGTGCTCCAGTGCGCAGATGCGTGTGCGTGTTCCAGATTGGGCACTCGGTGCCAAAAAGGTTCGCCATCAGTGATCTAGAGTTATTTGTAAAAATAATTACGGAAGGAAGGAAGGAAGGAAGGAAGGAAGGAAGGAAGGAAGGAAGGAAAGAAAGAAAAAGAAAGAAAGAAAGAAAGAAAGAAAATCATACGAAGGGAAGGAAGGAAGGAAAGAAAGAAAGAAAGAAAGAAAAAAGAAAGAAAGAAAGAAAATTATAGGAAAGGAAAGAAGGAAGGAACGAAGGAAGGAAGGAAAGAAAGAAAGAAAGAAAATCATAGGAAAGGAAGGAAGGAACGAACGAAAGAAAGAAAGAAAGAAAATCATAGGAAGGGAAAGAAGGAAGGAACGAAGGAAGGGAGGAAGGAAAGAAAGAAAGAAAGAAAGAAAGAAAGAAAGAAGAAAGAAAATTATAGGAAGGGAAGGAAGGAAGGAAGGAAAGAAAGAAAAAAGAAAGAAAATCATAGGAAGGGAAGGAAGGAAGGAAGGAGGAGGAAAGAAAGAAAGAAAGAAAGAAAGAAAGAAAGAAAATCATAGGAAGGGAAGGAAGGAAGGAAAGAAAGAAAGAAAAAAGAAAGAAAATCATAGGAAGGGAAGGAAGGAAGGAAAGAAAGAAAGAAAAAAGAAAGAAAGAAAGAAAGAAAATCGTAGGAAAGGAAAGAAGGAAGGAACGAAGGAAGGAAGGAAAGAAAGAAAGAAAGAAAGAAAATCATAGGAAAGGAAGGAAGGAAGGAAGGAAAGAAGGAAGAAAAAGAAAGAAAGAAAGAAAAAGAAAGAAAGAAAGAAAAGAAAGAAAATCATAGGAAGGGAAGGAAAAGAAAGAAAGAAAGAAAGAAAGAAAGAAAGAAAGAAAGAAAGAAAGAAAGAAAATCATAGGAAGGGAAGGGAAGGGAAGGGAAGGGAGGGAAGGAAGGAAGGAAGGAAGGAAGGAAGGAAGGAAGGAAGGAAGGAAGGAAGGAAGGAAGGGACCTACAACCCAGCCAGGCCCACTGCCAATAGCGTCCGTAAATTGTCGTTTCCACAGGGAAGGGCGTCAACTTGGCTAGTGGTGGAATCAAACAGCCCATGAAATGGGCTTCCCAGCTAAAGGACCCCAGACTCTTTTGTCCTTTCTCTGCCACCACAACAGCACACACAGCACACGCTCCAACAAAAGAACGCAGGGCGAAAACAAAAAAAAAAAACACAAACCGATCCATGAACGACCGTACACCGTCAGAGGGACGCTCACAAAAATACCCCCGACTCCCTGCCTGATATGGAGAGCACCTGTTGAAGCCATGCCTGCCCATTTTAACAGGCGTGGGGGGTCTTTTGGGGAGGGGGGTTAACAGCCCATTCTCAGCCACTTCTCTTTTTAAATTCACATCCCGTTGCCTTAATAAAATAAAATAAAACCCATACCAGAGATGAGGATTTTTTTTAAAAAAAAGCCTGCCATAAACCCACATTGCGACTGGATTAACTTTTAACACCTTATTTGAATTTCTGGCTTCATCGTGGATTGTCTCTCCTAGTTTGCAGCGATTTTATACTTTCTTTCTTTCTTTCTTTCTTTCTTTCTTTCTTTCTTTATTTCTTTATTTATTTATTTATTTATTTATTTATTTATTTCTTCATTTATTTATTTATTTATTGATTGATTGATTGATTGATTGATTGATTGATTGGTTCGATTTATATGCCGCCCTTCTCCGGAGACTCAGGGCGGCTTACAATGCTTTTTAAGCAATAGCCTTCATACTTTTGTATATACCTGCTTAGTAGGGCTTTCGGGGCCCCCCTAAGCAATGTTCTTTTTTATACAAAGTCAGCTTATTGCCCCCACAATCCAGGTCCTCATTTTATCTACCTCGGAAGGATGGAAGGCTGAGTCAACCTCGAGCCTGGTGAGATTTGAACTCGCAGTAATTGCAGGCAGCTGGTGCTACTTAACAGCACTTTAGTCTGCTGCGCCACCAAGGCTCTATTTTAAGGGGGCAAAAGGCACATTTAGCTGCCTTCTCGTCTCACCCAAACAGACGCCCGTCGCACAACTGCGCCGCAACTCACACAAAACTGGGACACGAAGGGTGCTGAAGTCCCGTCTTGTAACAACCCACCATCGGGAGCCCAAAGGGGGGTGCAAGCCACTTTAAAAAAAAAAAAAGAAAGAAAACTTAGTCTAACCCGGACTAAGGTGGCTCAGTGGCTAAGACGCTGAGCTCGTTGATCAGAAAGGTCAGCGGGTTCAAATCCCTAGTACGGGTCTCCTGCGGTGAGCGGGGGGTTGGACTAAATGACCTCCAAGGTCCCTTCCGACTCCATTACTCTTAACCCAGGTAATGGCTACAAGCTGATTTCACCGGCCATGCCCAGGCTGATCTTTTAATGAGGATTATTTTTCCTTGCACAGTCACCTGGAGGTTCCAACTGTATATATGGCATTTTTTAAATCCATCCCAAGGACTTTAAGACCGATAAATAAAGAGCCTTGGTAGTACAGTGGTCTAAAGCACCCTGTTATTAAGACCAGCTGCCTGCAATTACTGCAGGTTCGAATCTCGCCAGGCTCAAGGTTGACTCAGCCTTCCATCCTTTCTAAGGTAGGTAAAATGAGGACCCAGTTTGTGGGGTCAATAAGCTGACTTCGTATAAAATAGACAAAAGTATGAAGGCTATTGCTTAGCGCATTGTAAGCCGCCCTGAGTCTCCGGAGAAGGGCGGCATATAAATCAAAATAAATAAATAAATAAATAAATGTGAATGGTGTTTAAAAGGTATAGTTTGCAGGATGTAAGCTGGAACGGCCAAGCTGCCTTTTGCAATTGACGGAAGGGGGTTTGGTCAATGCCGATGATATTCTAGAGGTGCTCCAGATGTTTTAGGTTGCACCTAAGACGCCTGTGACTATTGGGATCACTCTGGCTTTCTTTTGCCAGAGTCGTCCTGTTTCTATTTTTTATTTTTTTTATTTGATTTATATGCCGCCCTTCTCCGGAGACTCAGGGCGGCTTACAACACGTTAAGCAATAGCCTTCATACTTTTTTGTATATTTATACAAAGTCAGCTTATTGCCCCCACAATCCGGGTCCTCATTTTACCTACCTTAGAAAGGATGGAAGGCTGAGTCAACCTTGAGCCTGGTGAGATTCGAACTTGCAGTAATTGCAGGCAGCTGATGTTAATAACAGCGCTTTAGTCTGCTGCGCTACCAAGGCTCCTATTTGTAGGTCTTCGCATTGTTGCTATTATAATTATTATAGTCTCCAAGCTAACCCACTGAGGCTGCAAGGCTCCCACGCAGGAAAGGCGCCAAATTACAAAGACCTGGCAAAACCCTCCCTTTCCTTCTTTCCTCCAAGGCGGGTTCACGGGTTAAAAAACCCCACGGGGCGCTTAATTTTGGGGGGAATCCCACCCACCGCAGGTAGAAAAGTTGGGCTAAGGGTCGGACGGGTTGTGTGTGTGTGTGTGTGTGGGGTGGGGGCTGGGGGAATCCCTAAAGCCCACCCCTGAATCCATCCTCCCGTCCGTCCCATCCAGACACGCGGCGGGCCGCGATCGCGGGTGGGTAGGTGAGTGGGTAAACCGAAGTCACCCCCGCCTCGTTATTGTCACGGCAAGGATGGAGCTCGCAACGCCCTCCCGTCTTTGCCCCACAGCGCGGGGAGCAACTTCTACCCCACCCCACCCGGTCCCATCCAGACACCGAGGATGGACACGCGGCGGGCCGCGATCGCGGGTGGGTAGGTGAGTGGGTAAACCGAAGTCACCCCCGCCTCGTTGTTGTCACAGCAAGGATGGAGCTCGCAACGCCCTCCCGTCTTTGCCCCACAGCGCGGGGAGCAACTTATACCCCACCCCACCCGGTCCCATCTAGACACCGAGGATGGACACGCGGCGGGCCGCGATCGCGGGTGGGTGAGTGGAAAAGCCGAAGTCACCCCCGCCTCGTTATTGTCACGGCAAGGATGGAGCTCGCAACGCCCTCCCGTCTTTGCCCCATAGCGCGGGGAGCAAGTTCTACCCCACCCCACCCGGTCCCATCCAGACACCGAGGATGGACACGCGGAGGGCCGCGATCGCGGGTGGGTAGGTGAGTGGGTAAGCCGAAATTACCCCCGCCTCGTTGTTGTCACGGCAAGGATGGAGCTCGCAACGCCCTCCGTCTTTGCCCCACAGCGCGGGGAGCAACTTCTACCCCCCACCCCACCGGCGAGACACCCACCCACGCACGGACCTACGCAGCCCGGGGAGGGGGGGGGTCTCACCTGCCAGGAGGCGGAAGGGATCTGGCCGAAGCCCCCCAGGGCATCGCAGGGCTCCAGGTGCCGCGGGGCTTCCGAGCAGTGCCAGAGCAAGCCGAAGGTGACTTCGCCCACGCCGCCGAAGCTTTCCACGGAGCCGGGCGCGGGGCTCCCTCCTCCTCCTCCTCTTTCCCACCGCCGCCCACCGCCGCCGCCGCCTCGCTGCCGGACGATCCACGCGGGCGAGAGGAAGCCGAAGCTGCAAACGGCCACCAGGCAGGAGGACAAGAGGAGCCAGAAGCAACCCACGCCGCTGAACATCCTGGGCAGAGCCGCGGCGTGGGGCGGCGGGCGGCCCGATGCCAGGGCTCCGGCCGCCTGCCCGCCGCTGCCAGCCGTTGCCGCCACCCGCCGCTGCTGCTTCTTCTTCTTCTTCTTGCGGCGGGGAGGCATGGGACCCCCGCCCACGCAGCCACCCACTCGCGATCGCGGCTCGCCTGCAGGTGCCTCGCTAACCTCCCGCCTGGCCGCTCCTTGCCTCGCCTTCCCGGTGGGCGTCTCTTCGGAGCCGGCTCCCCATCACGTGCAGGGCGGCCCCACACACGCCTGCGTTAGCCCACCCGGCAAAGGGGGGAGGGGGTGGAAGCGTGGGTGGGGGGGTGGTGGAGGGGGGGTCTTCTCCCCTTCTCCTTTCTCTAGGGGAAAAATCTCCCTTTCTCTCTCTCTCTCTCTCTCTTTCTCTCCCCTGCCTAGTGAAAAGCCAAGCTGGGAACAAGAGGGAAGGGGGGAGAGTCTTTATTTATTTATTTATTTATTTATTTATTTATTTATTTATTTATTTATTTATTTATTTATTTATTTATTTATTTATGATAGATAGATAGATAGATAGATAGATAGATAGATAGATAGATAAATAATTTATTCCCCTCTGGGAACAAGAGGGAGGGGGGGATTCCCAGGATGGGGAATATTTATTTATTTAAATAAACAAACAAACAAACAAACAAACAAACAAATAAATAATTTATTCCCCTCTGGGAACAAGAGGGAGGGGGGATTCCCAGGATGGGGAATATTTATTTATTTATTTATTTATTTATTTATTTATTTATTTATTTATTTATTTATTTATTTATTTATTTATTTAATTTATATACCGCCCTACTCCCGAAGGACTCAGGGCGGTGAACAGCCAAGAGATAAAATACACATAGTACAAACGTTAAAAAACCATTTAAAAATACATTTTTATTATTTTTTTTAAATTTGATTTATATGCCGCCCTTCTCCGGAGACTCAGGGCGGCTTACAATGCGTTAAGCAATTAAATACTATTTAATGCGTTAAATACTATTGGCCCACAAACAAATTTAAAACACCCCCAATTTAGAAAACAAATTTAAAACAAATTTAAGAGGGAGAGTTAGGCCAGACCAGCCTGCTGGAATAAGAATGTTTTGAGAGCACGGCGGAAAGTGCGCAAATCCGGGATCCTCCATATCTCCGGGGGGGGGGGCGGAGCTCATTCCAGATGGCGGGTGCCCCCACAGAGAAGGCTCTCCCCCTGGGGGCCGCCGGTCGACATTGTTTGGCCGCCGGCACCCTGAGGAGCCCCTCTCTGTGTGAGCGTACTGGTCGGTGAGAGGCTACTGGTGGCAGAAGGCGGTCTCGTAAGGCGGACTTTGAACCAGAGAGACCCTTCCCCAGGCTTTCCCACGACCGGGAACTCCACCTTCGGTGCCTAAAGCTGGGGATTCCGCCTGCCCGCCGGTTGGGCTTGCAGTGAATCACAGGGTCAGCGGCTCACGGGAAGAAGAACGTAGGAAGGCTCAACATGCAGACAGCGCCTTCTGTAAATGGGGACAGTACCCAACCCGGCCTCTAGGCGAGTCAGCGAGGGAAACCACGCTGTATTGTAAGGCGTTGCTGCCCTCTAGCGGCCAAGCTTGTGCTTTGCAGCTTTTGATAGCGCGGCTGATCTGTGATCATTGGGCTGCATAATCGTGATTGGCGAGGATAACTTACTTATTTATTTATTTATTAGTTCAATTTATATGCCGCCCTTCTCCGAAGACTCAGGGCGGCTTACAATGCACTTATAGCAATAGCCTTCATTCTTTTGTATTGTATATACCTGCTTATTAGGGCTTTTTGCACCCCCCCCATAAGCGGTGTTTCTACAAAGTCAGTTTATTGCCCCCACAATCCGGGTCCTCAATTTACCTACCTCGGAAGGATGGAAGGCTGAGTCAACCTTGAGCCTGGTGAGATTCGAACTCGCACTAATTGCAGGCAGCTGGCAGCTAAGTGCTACATAACAGCACTTTAGTCCGCTGCACCACCAAGGCTCTTTGAGGAGTGTGGTGAACTCTGCACACAGATCTAAGCGAGACTCGGCTTTTCGTGGACTGAAAGGACAGGTAGTTGCAATCAGCATAGAGATGGAAGGGACCTTGGAGGTCTTCTAGTCCAGCCCCTTGCTCAAAGCAGGAGGCCTAATACCATATCAGACAAGTGACTGTCCAGTCTCTTCTTAAAAACTTCCAGTGATGGAGTAGAGTATGCACAACTTCTGGTGGCAGGCTGTTCCACTGGTTAATTGTCCTCACTGTTAGGAAGTTTCTCCTCAATTCCAGGTTGCTTCTCTCCTTGATTAATTTCCATCTATTGCTTCTTCTCCTGCCTTTGTCTACTACACTATTTTCTAATAACAGTGAAAATACGTTATTCTCATGCACTGGAATTCATATTTCAGTGTAGAACTGATTGGAATATTCCTATTAAATATAACAATAAAAATCTTTTTTAAAAGCTTTCGCAGGTATAGATGGTGTTCTTGGTTGCTTCTTAATATAATATGTGCGATATTAGAGATAATACATCAGGCAGAAAAGTAGAATATGAATGAATTTAATTGCCATCACATTTTCTTAGCCTATGCACCTCACAATTTTTATTTACTCTTTTAAAAATGTATAGTTGCTAAATCCCCATTGTTCAAATTTAGCAACTTTAAGATGGGTGGACTTCAGCTGGCCTGGGGAATTCTGGGGGTTGAAGTTGGACATTTTTTAAAAAAATTGATTTATATGCTGCCCTTCTCCGGAGACTCAGGGCGGCTTACAATGCGTTAAGCAATAGCCTTCATATTTTTGTATATTTATACAAAGTCAGCTTATTGCCCCCACAATCTGGGTCCTCATTTTACCTACCTTAGAAAGGATGGAAGGCTGAGTCAACCTTGAGCCTGGTGAGATTTGAACTTGCAGTAATTGCAGGCAGCTGATGTTAATCACAATGCTATCAGTCTGCTGAGCCACCAGAACTCTCTGGTAAAAGATGAGATTAAGATTAAAAACTGAGATTAAGAAACACTAGATTAGAATATCTGTATGGATCAATTTTCTAATTTGGTTAATATGCTGGCTGGGGAATTATGGGAGTGGACGTCAACCTATTTTAAGGCACGATGGCTGGGGAATTCTGGGAGTTGAAGTCTATCCACCTTAAATTATGTTGGCTGTTGAATTCTGGGAATTGAAGTCTGCCCATCTTAAAGTATGCTGGCTGGAGAATTCTGGGAATGGAAATCAACCTATCTTAAGGTATATTGGCTGGAGAATTCTGGGAATTGAAGTCCACTCATCTTAAATTATTCTGGCTGGGGAATTCTGGGAGCTGACGTCCATACAACTTCAAATCACCCAGTTTGAGAACTACTGCTCTAAATTGTAAAACTGAGCAAGGGAAATTTCATTTTGCTTGCAGAAATCACATTCCCGGGTGCCCCCTTGTGTTTTTGAAGAGAGCCATCTGAGTCTGGCTTTTGAGCGATACCCCAATCTTTCCAGGTTCTGGGTATTTTGCAACAGCAGCTATAAAACAAAGTAATTTTCAAAAGGAAAAAAAAAAAAGGTTTTGGGTCCCTCAAAACGATCCAGTCTTCTTTGTCATATCAAACAAAGTTAGTTGTGAATGCTCCAACACTGGAAGTTTTTAAGAAGAGATTGGATAACCATTTGTCTGAAGGGGTGTAGGGTTTCCTGACTAAGCAGGGGGTTGGACTAGAAGACCTCCAAGGTCCCTTCCAACTATTCTATTCTATTCTATTCTATTCTATTCTATTCTATTCTATTCTATTCTATTCTATTCTATTCTATTCCAACTCTACTCTATTTCTATTCTACTCTACTCTACTCTTCTCTTCTTTCTTGTTCTATTCTATTCTATTCTATTCTATTCTATTCTATTCTATTCTATTCTATTCTATTCTATTCTATTCTATTCTATTCTATTCTATTCCTGTTCTATTTCTACTCTGTTCTTTTCTATTCTATTCTACTGTATTTCTATTTCTATTTCTATTTCTATTTCTATTTCTATTTCTATTTCTATTTCTATTTCTATTTCTATTCCATTCCATTCCATTCCATTCCATTCCATTCTATTCTATTCCTACTCTACTCTACTCTACTCTACTCTACTCTACTCTACTCTACTCTACTCTACTCTATATTTCTACTCTACTCTACTCTACTCTGTTCTATTCTATTTATATCTATCTATCTATCTATCTATCTATCTATCTATCTATCTATCTATCAGTGGTGAAATCCAATTTTTTTACTACCGGTTCTGTGGGCGTGGCTTGGTGGGTGTGGTGTGGCTTGGTGGGCATGGCAGGGGAATGATACTGCAAAATCTCCATTCCCACCCCACTCTGGGGCCAGCCAGAGGTGGTATTTGCCAGTTCTCTGAACTATTCAAAATTTCCGCTACCAGTTCTCCAGAATCTGTCAGAACCTGCTGGATTTCACCCCTGATATTTATACTCTCTTAACAGCTATTTCGTGATGATCTTCTAGTATTTACATTTTCTCCCTTTTCCCTTTATATTATTCCAGTTTCTTCTTGTCCTTTCTCTTTTAATGACAGTGTATTTATTAAGACTTTATATTTTCTATACATTGACATATTCATTCTTTCCTTTTTTACATTTCACCCCTATTTTTCTTCTCCGTTATTCCTATTCCTATTCTCCAGCCACTTATACCATTTGTGCTAGATTATATAATATTCCGTATCCTCTTTTTCTTTAAGCTCTTTTGTTAATTTAAGCATGAGAAATTTTGGGCTCAATTGTGGTCATAAGTCGAGGACTACTTGTATATGATTTTGTTTTGATGTTGTAAGCTGCCCAGGGCGATCTTGGACCGAAATGGGTGGCAAACCAATTTAATAATAAATAAATAGATAAAAATCGATGTCCTTGTTGGAAGGAAAATCCATCTGGTTTAGTTCCAAGCCAAGAGAAAGACGCTGGAAATAAATGAAATGTAAATAAAGATTTTTTTTTAAAAAAAGAAAAGTTCCCTTTATGGATGAAGCAGAACCACGAACCACATGTGGTTCTGGGACAGCTGAGCAAATGCTGAATAGGTGGACAGATCTTTATAGTTTCTATAACTGTGAAATTTGGGATTTGTGCAATATGGGCTTTGTGTTTCTAAAAGGGTATTGGGCAATTCCTATTGTGGCTCATGGCTTTCGTCCTGCGTTGGATCTTGGGTGAGGGGCTACTTGTTCTAAGTTTGACAGCTGGTTTTGTCAGCTGTCAAACTTTGCCACAGGGGAGTTTTGAAATATCCTGCCTGGAATGGACTTCTGCCGGCAGTATTTGCTTTGCTTATGAACGGAGCCATCTAGATAGTCGGCTTCCTCTTTCAAGAAGCCCTCCTTAAGAGCTGGCATCTGCTGTGGGCTGTTAAGGAAGACTTGGGGGTCTGCTTTCTGCCTCTAAAAAACATGCTTCTCCATTTCTCCTTTAGGGAAATATAACATTCTACCTTTTTTTTTTTTAATATTTCCCAAAATATTTCATTCTTCTGGGGAGGGGGAATGGGCTTTTTCCCACACCCTCTTCCCTGTGACAGCGCTTCAAATATTGGGAGTTTATGTGGGAGCCCCTACTTTGCTTTAAAAATACGCATTTCCCAAGTGTGAGGGGTCCTTGGTGCTCTCTGAGCTCGCTTGTTTTCTTGCAGACGTTTCATTACTCAAACTAGGTACCATCCTTCATTTCCCAAGTGTTTTGGACTACAACTCCCATCAATCTGATTTTAGGGGAAACTCCCATCAATCTGAGTTTAGGGGAAACCAATACATTGCAAAGCATACTTGAGGCTATTCCGACCCTTTTTTAAAGATATATATATCTTTAATATATATAATGTAATATATATATATATTAGTTCCATATATTATATATATATATTACACATTTTGCAGATAACTTTTTTTTAAAATCTCTGTAAATTGCAGATATTACACAGAAGGTTATCCTAGGGTTGGGGCAGTTGCCCTTACCCAACATGGCCGAACGGGCTTCCGCTCCTGTTTCAGGAATTATTAAAACGAGCGGGATTCTCTTTGCCCCCGGCTTCGAAAGGGAGAACGCGCCCTCTTCAAACATGGACTCTCCGCCTCCTTCGCCCTCCTGCCGCCGGGCGCCCTGTTCCAAGATGGCCTCTCCCAAACGCCCCGCCTCCTCCTTTCCATCCCGCTCTCTGATTGGTCCTTGCCCTTGACGACTAATGACTTCCGGGCCGGTCCTTTTTTTTTATTTCCCGAGAGGCTTTGCGCGCCGTCGCCGCCCGGAAGAAGGAGCCTGCGCCGCGGCCGCCGCTGTTGACAACATGGCGGCTGCCGCCTCCTCCTCCGCCTCGGTGTGGGGCGCGGGAGGCGGCGGCGGGAGGAGGAAGAGGAAGGAGACCCAGCAGCCCTGAGGGAAGGCCTAGGCCTGACCCGCCGGCGCCGCCATGTCTTTCTTCAGGCGGAAAGGTAGCCGCTCTTTTGGGGGGGGGAAAGAAGGGAGGGGGTGGCTTGCTGAGGAGGGGGCTGCGCCTGTCTTTGGGCCTGGTGAGGAGGGGGGGGAGGAGAAGCCCGAAGGCTGCGCAGCATGGGCTTTGTAATACTTGAACATGGGTTTTGTAGTACCACAAACCAACAGTGGGGAGGGGGGCTTGCTGTCTTTAAGGGGGGGGGGTTGCTGCTTCAGTCCAAGGGTGGGGGGGAAAGCAGGGGAATTGAAGGGAGGGGGCTGAGTTGGGGGAAGCAGATATGGGGATGCCCCTTTGAATGGGTGGGAGGGGTGGGGGGGTTTATGATATGAAGGGGGGGAGGAGGAGAAATGGGGGGTCTATCTAGAGGGAGGGGGGTCTCAGGACTTGGAGGACCTAGTCAGATGAGTGGAGGGGTTTTGTGGTTGGGGGGGGGTTGAAATTTGGCTACAGGGAGGGGGTCTTGGGCCTGTCATGGAGCTAGTCCTCGACTTACGACCGAAACACAACACCACACACACACACAAATTTCCATTGCTAAGCCAGATGGTGGTTGCCCCCCTGTTTTACGACCTCCCTCGCCATTCGTTGTTAATGAGTGGGGGGCACCTACCCTCTGGAATCAGCTGCCCCCCAGAGATAAGGAGAATCCAAGACCTCGGTGCCTTCCGCCATGCCCTTAAAACTTTCTTTTTTTCAGCAAGCTGGGCTGGCTTAACATATTTTTTAATTTTTAATTGGTTTGTTATCTTAAATTGGGGCCAAATTAATATATATCCTTTTAATTGTTTTTTTAATGTTTGTATTGTATGTTTTTATTTGGCTATACACCACCCTGAGTCCCTCGGGAGAAGGTGCGGTATATAAATTCGAAATAAAATAAAATAAATAAAATAAAAGCGAGTCGCTGCGCTTGTTGATGTTAAGTGAACCCCGTAATCTGGCTTCCCCCATGGACTTTTTTTTTGCTTGTCCGGAAGGTCGCACCACAAAAGAGGATCGCTTGACCCACAGACACACACACACACACAGAGACACGGGAAACTACGATGGTCATAAATATGGAACCGGTTGGCAAAGCACGGCCTGAATTTTGATCCCAGGGATGTTGCCAAGGTCGTAAAAGTGTTTTTTAAAAAAAAAAAAAGCCTCAAGGCACTTTTTTCAGTGCTGCTGTTGACTTAGAGCGGTCACTAAGCGAACCGTCGTAAGTTGAGGACTCCCTGTACAGGTGGGTGAGTGGGGATTTATCGGCCTAGGGATGCACCCAGGAGAGGAGATTGTTGGGAGACTGAAAGCCAATGGGGACAACAAAGGAAGCTGGGTTGTTGCCCAGCAGGTTTAGGGGTCGCCTTTGGATGGGAGACCACTAAGAAAGCCCAGGTCCTGTGCAAGATTGCAAAGTTAAAATGAAACCATCATCCCGGTAGGAAACTTGCGAGATTAGGATCTGTCCGATTGCCTAGCAGGAAGTGATGGCTCCATAGTGGTGTCTCTCTGTGTGTGTTGTGCTATTAAATTAAACATCATAGGTGCTATTAAGAGGCAGCTGGAACAGCAGTATTTATTTGGTCTAGTCGTTAAGGCACCAGGCTTGAAAAGCAAAAGAGATTGCGAGTTCAAGTCCTGCCTTAGCCGTGAATGCCAGGTTAGGTGACTTTGGCCCAGTCTCTTTCTCAGCCCATCCCACCTGACAGCCAAATCTGACTCTAGGTTCTGCCTCAGTTTACCTTCCCAATAAGCAAATGAGTCGGAAGATCATTTAAAAGTAGTTTATTATTAGTAGTTTATTAAAGTGATGAAGAGGGATGTGGTGGCTCAGTGGCTAAGATGTTGAGCTTGTCGATCAAAAGGTCGGCAGTTCGGCGGTTCGAATCCCGAGTGCCGCATAACCGGGTGAGCTCCCGTGACTTGTCCCAGCTTCTGCCAACCTAGCAGTTCGAAAGCACGTAAAAACATGCAAGTAGAAAAATTGGGACCCCCTTTGGTGGGAAGGTAATAGTGTTCCGTGCGCCTTTGGCGTTGAGTCATGCCGGCCACATGACCACGGAGACGTCTTCTTCGGACAGCGCTGGCTCTTCGGCTTTGAAACAGAGATGAGCACCGCCCCCTAGAGTCGGGAACGACCAGCACATACGTGCCAGGGGAACCTTTACCTTTACTATGTAAAAGGAAGAGGTTAGTTGACACAACAAAGAAAATGCAAGTTCCCCTTTCTACTTAGGAAATCAGTTACATGTAGTCAAATATGTTACACGTATTTGCATCCCATAATATCACACAGGTTCATTATTTAATTATTTAATTATTTATTGGTTCGATTTATATGCCGCCCTTCTCCGGAGACTCAGGGCGGCTTACAATGCGTTAAGCAATAGCTTTCATACTTTTGTATATACCTGCTTAGTAGGGCTTTCGCCCCCCCCACCCCCCAAGCAGTGTTCTTTTTTTTTATACAAAGTCAGCTTATTGCCCCCCACAATCCGGGTCCTCATTTTACCTACCTCGGAAGGATGGAAGGCTGAGTCAACCTTGAGCCTGGTGAGATTTGAACTTGCAGTAATTGCAGGCAGCTGGTGTCACTTAACAGCACTTTAGTCTGCTGTGCCACCAAGGTTCTTGGTCTGACATCCAAAGGGGCGTATCACACCCCACAGGGTTGTTGTGGGGGAAATAGGAATGTGTGTGTGTGTTGTGGTATTAAACATCATAGGTGCTATTAAGAGGCGGCTGGAACTTCAGTATTATTTGGTCTAGTGGTTAAGGCAACCAGGCGAGAAAGCAAAACATATCGTGAGTTCAAGTCTTCCTTTAGCCGTGAATGCCATCCAGGTGATTTTGGCCCAGGCTATAGGTCTGTTGTGGAGAAAATAGGAAGTTGTGTCGGATCTGTTCGTTTTATTATTTGTAAACATAAAATAAAAAATTTAAATAAATTTATGGCTTTTTCCTCCAGCTGCCTAAGCCCCTTCCTCCTCTTTCAGCACCCCGATTGTGAGAGTTCTTGGGGGGGGGGTCCTGCCAGAGGGAGGGAACCCCCCCTCCCTTCGGAAATGCCCTTTGCTGCAACTTTTCTAAATTCCAGGAAATCCTCAGATTAGCAACCCTGCATCCCTGCTCTAAATCCTAGGAAGGGCCCAGAGACTTTGAATGAATGTTTTGAAAGCCACACAATAGCAGCAGTTGTGTGCAGAAAAAAGGCAATTGTTTCGGCATCAGGTCGAAAAGCTTTCTAAGGCTGCGGGCCCAACAATTGAGGCAGGCCTCTCAGGTTGTATGTTGTATTGATGTACTCTTTGAGTACAGATAGTCCTCGTCTTACAACAGTTCATTTAGTGACGGTTCAAAGTTTTAACGGCAGTGAAAAAAAGCGATTTACAACCGCTTTTAAAACGGTTTTGCTAAAAACTGGCAGTTACTTCTTGTTTTCGGCAAAACCGTGCCCCGTTGGCTTGCTTAACAGCTCTTGGTGTGGTGTTCACTTAACGACCACTGCAAAAATGGTCATAAAACCGGTCCATAAAATGAAGGTAGGTCCTTGACTTAACAACAGTTCGTTTTGTGAATAGAATGGCACTGGAAATTTTGACTTGCGACCCTTTTTTTCAAAGTTATGACTTTTGCAGCGTCCCCCCCTGATCAGGTGATCAAAATTCGGATGCTTGGCAATTTATTTATGACGGTTGCGGTGTTCCAGAGTCACATGATCACTTTTTGGGGCTTTCTGGCCAGCCAAAAGTCAATAAGGAAGCCGGATTCATTTAACGACCGGGCTTACTAACTTATCAACTTGTAGCAATTCGCTTAACAACTGAGGCAAGGAAGGTTGCAAAATGGGGCAAATGTCTCACTTAGTAACATAAATTTGGGGCTCCATTGTGGTCGTAAGTCGAGACCTATCTGTATTTGTGTTGGGAATTTGCCTTATTCTCATTTTGCGTAACTTTTGGGGGGAAAAGACGTCACCTGAACAGGTGATTTTCAGAGGTTGCCGTCACAACTAATATCCTCTCTGAATTTGGGGATTTGCAGGTGAATAATGTTTGCACGCTGAAGTGATGCTAGCGGAGTCGGCTATTTTGAAGGGCAGAATTAAGTTAATTTATTTTATTTTTATTTTATTTTATTTCCAGTTTATAGACCGCCCTTCTCCCTGAGGACTCAGGGCGGTGTACAGCCAGAATTAAGAACATGAAATACAGATATTAAAAAACAATTGCGCTGCTGCGTTCTGGACCAGTTGGAGCCTCTGGGTGCTCTTCAAGGGGAGCCCCATGTAGAGAGCGTTGCAGTAGTCAAGGCGAGAGGTGACGAGGGCGTGAGTGACTGTGCACAGGGAATCCCGATCGAGAAAGGGCCGCAACTGGCGAATCAGGCGAACCTGACAAAAAGTCCCCCTGGTTACAGCCGTGAGATGTTCCTCCAAAGACAGCTGCCTATCCAGGAGGACTCCCAGATTGCGCGCCCTCTCCGAGGGGGCCAAGGACTCACCCCCAATAGTCAGTGATGGAGTCAACTGACTATATCGGGATGCCGGGAGCCACAGCCACTCAGTCTTGGAAGGGTTGAGCTTGAGCCTGTTCCTCCCCATCCAGATCCGCACGGCCTCCAGGCACTGGGACATCACTTCAAGGGCATCGTTGGGGTGGCCTGGGGTGGAGATGTACAGTTGGGTGTCATCAGCGTACTGGTGGTATCTCACCCCGAAGCTACGGATGATCTCGCCCAGCGGCTTCACATAAATGTTGAACAGGAGGGGCGAGAGGACCGATCCCTGCGGCACTCCACAGACGAGAGGCCTCGAGGTCGACCTCTGCCCCCTGCCAACACAAACTGCGACCGGTCGGAGAGAAAAGAGGAGAACCACCGCAACACGGTGCCCCCCACCCCCAACTCTTCCAGCCGGTGCAGCATGATACCATGGTCGATTAACTCAATTCATTGAGTTATGTAACTATGATTGTAATGGCTGTGTAATTCAGGCTGTGATTTGATGGTCTC